GAGCCACCGGCACACCAAGCCCTGGGAGCGCGACAGCCTTGTCCTTGGGCGACCTCAGTGAGGTGGGTGTGACGCTGCCCGAGTCGGGAGCCCTTGCTCAGGGGACAAGTGCCACCACGACTGCAGAGCGGGGCTCTGGCCTCTCTGGCTCCTCTCCCAGCCTGAGACTCCTTCTCCACAGCAGCCTCTCGGGACCTCAGGCTCAGGTGCCCAGCACCTTACCACGGGAGACTTAACGCGTGCAGCGAGCTTACAGCCAGCTTTGGAGACGTCTCCAATTGAAAGCATGAGATGGCGCGGTGTGCGCCACGGTTCTGAGAAGCAGTGACCTGCCGGCACCTGTGTGGCAGGAGACATGCACTCATCCCTCTCTTTGGGACACCTCCAGGGGAAACCCAAGGTGGGTATCTGGGCGAAGATTTGCAAGATCTCCCATAGCCGTCCCGTCAGACCAACTGTCTGTGGCTGAGCGCCAAGGAAGCCCAACAGGGGCCCCGTGCCCATCAGCCCCAGGGACGTGGCTTGGGCAGGCTCTGCAAGGGCTGCGCTGTTACAAAACCCACTCTTGCCTTCCTGGGGAGGAATAAGCCCATGCACCAGTCCAGGCTGGGGGGCTGCCCTGCTGGGGAGCAGCTCTGAGGAGAAAGACCTGGGAGTCCTGGTGGACAACAGGGTGACAAGGAGCCGCTTTGTGCCATTGTGGCCAAGAAGGACAACGGTATGTTGGGTGCATCAGAAAGAGTAGTGACCAGCAGGTCAAGGGAGGTTATCCTGCCCCTCTACTCTGCCCTGGTGAGGTCCCCATCTGGAGGAGTGTGTCCACTTCTGGGCTCCCCAGGTGAAGAAGGTCAGGGAACTGCTGGTGAGGGTACAGCAGAGGACCACAGAAATGATTAGGGGCCTGGAGCATCTCTCTTATGAAGAAAGGCTATTTACTTGGGTCTTTTTGGTCTGGAGAAGAGAAAGCTGAGGGGGGATGTGATCAACACCTCTCAATGCTTCAAGGGAGGGTGTTAAGAGGATGGGGCCAGTCTTTTTTCAGTGGTGCCCGGTGACAGGACAAGAGGAAGTGGGCACAAACTTGAACATAAGAAGTCCCATCTAAACCTGAGGAGGAACTTCTTTACTCTGAGAGTAGCAGAGCACTGGCACAGGCTGCCCAGAGAGGTGGTGGGGTCTCTGTCTCTGGAGACATTAAAAACCTGCCTGGACATGTTCCTGTGCAACCTGCCCTTGGTGGACCTGCTTCAGCAGGGTGGTTGGACTAGATGATCTCCAGAGGTCCCTTCCAAACCTGTATCATACAGAGCAATTACTGCACTGATGAAATAAAGCGGGAACAGAGCAGATCCAAACCTTCTGCTGCCTGCCATGACGTGTTACGTGCATCTTTAAGGTTGACAGTATTCCTGACTAAATAGGGCAGATAAGGGGTGGAAACAGCAGGAAGAGATGATTAAGCAGGTCCTCAGAGCTGAAAATGCAGATGCCCAACACATTTGGAAGTAGTTACTATGGAGGAAGGATGACACAGCCCATCAAGTCCAAGCAAGACCAGTATCTCTAAGTGGCTACTAGCTTTATTTTAAGCACACACAAAGTAACTCAATACACAAGTTAACCAAATCCTAAGCAAACACCTCAGATAATTCAGAAAAGAAGGCTCTGAACCAGCCGACAGAAGTGAGATTCCTTCTGTGAGCATGGACCTTGAGAGATGTTCTCAATTTATTCACACAACTGAAGTCACTACACAATACCGCTCAATTTTCTCTTTGTGGTGACAGAAGCAGCAAAACATGATCCTGCATAAAGACAGCATCTCATGGCTCGGCTGAGGAAACTTCTCATGGAATAGAAAAATATACTACAGAAGAATTCAAACCGGCAACTTCAGACAAGCAGTAAAATCAAAAGATGAATGGAAGTTTCAGACAAGGAGTAAAACAGGGAGGTGCACAAAGGTTTAAATGTTTGAGTGAATGCATACAGAAAGAGACAGCATGCGAAATAATTAATTTCCTAAAATCCCAAGGGAAAAAATGAAGCATTTGCAAAGAATCAAATTAAGGAGTATCAGGAGACAAACAGCAGGGTATCAGTGGTGCCCAGAGGTGGTAACTTTCCCCATGAAGGATTTTCACACATTTTTCAGGAGGTACTCACACACCCCTCCTCTGCTTGTCACATGCCTCCAATCCAGCAGGGAGGGATGCACTCTAGCTGTGTCTTTGTCCTGTCCCACGAAATTCCACAGGGAGTGAGCTAACTCTTACCAGTCATCTTTTTGTTTTTCTTTTCCACATTCCCCAAAGAAAGAAAACAAAATTAAAATGGCAACAAGACAAAATGAAGCATGAGCAATATCTGGGGAGGAATCCTAAGTTTGTATCAGCAGCCCCAGAGAGGCAACACAATTAAGCCTGAAGTCTGGACAGCCAGGAGTAATTTGGTGTTTTTAAAGAGGTGATCTTTCACCAGAATAAACAAGCCAGAAGACACTGTTTGAAGTTTCAAGAAATGAAATATAAAATTTTGAGGAAAACGCATTTAAAGGAAACAAAAGAGGACAGGCTGTTCTACTTCTAGGAAGATGATTTCTTCATACATACAAACTCAGTAATGAGCTACCAACAGACACATCTACGGATCGTCTACGTCAAAACAAAGTAATTTCAATTACAGCTTTCAGATACTGTACACAAAACTGCTGGTTTCAGCAGGCTCGAAAGGCTGGAGCACTCAGTGGATCCTTTAGCTAAGCATTTTAAGCACTGCCAAAGGCACCCAAGAGCACGGATGAAGGGAGAGACACACACGAGAGGTACATTTGAAGAAAACAGTGCCTGCAACCTTCAAACTGGACCTTGAATACAAGGCACCTATATCCAGGTTTAAGCAGCATGAGGATATACAACATTGAGGGAAGATGAACAGATGTGACTTCAAGAGACATTGACAGAATCCACAAAACTGTTTACTTGCAGGTTTGGGGGACTTCATGTCATCTCTCTGAGCACCTAACTATAAGGTCAGGCTCACAGCAGCAATCACTTTTAACAGCTTTCCCTTGCTTCCCTCCTCTACTCAATTAAAAACTACTTCATTCATATGAAAAATTAGATATTTCCAACGCACAACAAGAAGCCAGGGGGGCCATCAGGCACCACAGGACTGCTCCCTGCCCACATCAAGCACGAGACGTAGCTTTACAGCCTTCACTTTCCCAGAGCCACTTTCCCTATCACAGTTTGTTTGACTTGGTGATTTAATAAAGAAAAATGCAGTATGTATGCACAGCAACGCCCAGTGAATGTACAGCCAGTAGCTCTCCAACATACACTTGCAAGGAAACAGAAAACATCTCTCTCCAGCCCCCCTAGTAAGGCAGGAGATAAAAGCTGGGTATCGCTATAACCGGGGAGCTGTGTTAACACTTAATAGCAAGGCAAGGGCTATTTACACCCTCCTGTATGCCAAACTTTTAATCCAGTATGCCACACTTTTAATCCTTTTTTCTCTGTCCTCAAGACAGACTTTAAAGCAGACCCCAGAAGTGGGAAGAAGAAAAAGGTGGATTACGTCCTATACCGACTCTAGAAACCTATCAGTGTCCCATGCAAATGATGGCTGGGTGAGAATCGTTTATGAAATACCAAATTTAACATATAAACTTTTCCCACTTTTGAAAAGACTGCCCAGTCCCAAGTAAAATCACAGAAGGTGTTGAAAATTACTTCTGTTTCCTCTTTGAGGAGACATTTAGCAGTTTTTCAATCGTAGATTTATTTTTAAGTTTATATTTTAAAATGTTGTTCTACTTAATCTTTTCTTTTTAACAATTGTGTTTATAAATCTAATTTTACAGTTGCTAAACACTTTTAAAAGTAGAGTTACCAAATTGCTCTCCAAAGAGGATCAACGAACGTCAACATAAAGACCGAAATGGATTTGGTTCTTTCCTGGAAGTGTGATCAGTTTAAGACAGGACTCACTGTGGACCTATTCCCGTGTGTGTTCTTAAACCAAGAGCACTTCTCCCATTTCCTTGAGCGCTTATTTTGGGCGTAACAGAAGCACCTGCAAAGTAAATTGCAATTCCTCCTCCAGCCCTCTGTTGTTTTGGATTTGCTGTCCTGCCGGTCACCTCCTGCCCCTCTGTCTCTGGCTCTTAGTTCTCCATTACTGTGCAGCTGTATCACAAGCAGCAGCAACACAGAATCACAGAATCTTCTAGGTTGGAAGGGACCTTAAAGATCATCTTGTCCAACCATCAACCCAACTTTGACAAAAATAAACACCCACACAACAAACAAAAAGCAACACCATCACTAAACCATATCTCCCAGCACTACATCAACCTGTCTCTTGAATACCTCCAGGGTATGGTGCCTCAACCATCTCCCTGGGCAGCCCATTCCAATGTCTGATAACCCTTTCCGTGAAAAAATCTTTCTAATATCCAGCCTGAACCTCCCCTGGCGTAACTTGAGGCCATTTCCTCTAGTCCTGTTGCCTGTGACTTGAGAGAAGAGACCGACCCCCACCTCTCTACAACCTCCTTTCAGGTGGTTGTAGAGAGCAATAAGGTCACCCTTCGGCCTCCTTTTCTCCAGTCTGAATAACCCCAGCTCCCTCAGCCTCTCCTCATAAGACTTGTGCTCCAAGTCCAAGACATGTGCTCCAACACACTCTCCTTCTTCCAACAATTCCCTCCTGTTGTCTTCACTGCAGGGTGCCATGAGCCACGGGCTTTGGAGGAGGTGGTCTGGTACTGAAAGAGGAGCCATCACCCTTCTTGTTGCCACAGGTGACATTGAGGATTCTCAAGAAGAGGGAGCTCCTGCACCCGAAGACAGAGCAGGTTCCTGTAGCCGAGAGCTCTCTCTCCATGCACCGGCGCAGGGCAGACCCACAGCAAACTCCAGGAACTCGCAAGAAACACTGCAGCGTGTTGGCCAGCTGCCTGTCACACAGCCAGCACTGGGAAAAACTCATACCCTGGCACGAAGTGGCAACACCACAGCTCCTCGGCATTGTCTGGGTGACCTGGCAAATAACACCTTCATTTTGCTCGGCGTTATCTGTGAGTGCCGCAACTCACTCACTCGCATTTTATTCACCTGCACAAACTGTAACTTCCAGCAAGTGCCTGCCAACGTTTCTCCTAATCTTTCAAAAACGATTACAGATTACTGAATGTCCTAGCTGACTAAGGGGCTTATTCTTGTTTTTACAACAAACCATTAGCTCAGCCAGGAATGGCCTAGTAACTCAGGATTTTTTTCCCGGCTATCAGTGCACAATAAATTTTTCATTTCTGGAAGAACTGAAGTGCAATGCATTAAAGAACTTACTCAGCTCATTAACGTGAACATAAATAAAACTAAATGAAAAGCAGTAATTCTCTGGGGCATCTTGTTAAATGTAAGACTTGGAAGAACTCCCTGTCTTGGAGAGTTTACTTGACCGGATGGCCTGATATATGAAGGAGTATTACATAAATGAAAACTCTCCGCAGTCCTCTACAAGAAGCCCTATAAATATACATATAAGGGAATATATGAAGGGAGACATATAGGGGACATATACATGAAGGGGAATTAAAAAAAAAAAAAACAAACACAAAATTACCACAACACAAAAACACCCAAAAACGTTTTCTTGATGATCTAATGCTTCATGAACTTCCAGCAGCTCAGCCCCTGTAAAGACAGTACATGCACACTGGAAGTTTATACTGTGGCAAAGAGGTGGCTTTTGTGCCACTCCTCCCCATTCCTTTCCTAATCACATCTAGCATTCGATTTGCCTTTTTTTGACAATTATACACTGGGCACATACTTCCCTGGATGCATCATTAAAACTCTAACTTCATTTCTTGCCTGATAAAAGCTGACTCAAGGCTTGTCAACTTTCCCTGCTTCATACACATCACTTTGCATTCATCCACCTCAGACAATAAAATGGTAGATTAAAATTAATTCACTTAAAAGATTCTTCTGCAATCCTTAGCAGCTAATCTGATGTCTATCAGCTCTCTACTGGCCTTTGTAGACAGGGTGGTGGGCTGTTAACAAGAGAGTTGAGTAGTACGATACACACTACTAAGCCATCGCTGACATGAATCCACCTGTAACCTTGTTCAAGTTCACTTCTTCCCACTCTTGCTTTTTGCCACTCAAACCCAGGTCTGCAGCCCGTGTGGTTTTATTTTAGCATTTCAGGTCATGAATGCCAACTTTCCGTTCCAGAGGGAACCTTCCATGCATGGTACCCTCAGTGATATCTGTCTCCGCAAAGATGCTCAGGAAAACAAGACAAGAAAAGGCTGTGGTTATGGCTAGCAACTGACTCTGACACTAGATCACCCTTTGGGTGGCCAGGGGAATGTTGTCCACATTTTCTAACACATGGAAATTGTACAGAAAAAGAAGGTTCTACCAGATTACATACTGGGCAGCTTTTTTTTTTTTTTTTTAACAACAGGTTTCTGCAGTTGTTATAGATGATCCCTATCCAAACATGCCATCATTAAAAAATTATCTTAAATAATAAAAATAAACATAGTAGATGGAGAAACATGGACAAAGTCTAAAGTCCTCATCAGTTATCTCCAGTGCAACTCTACTCCTCCTACCCTGAACTGGAACGTGTCTCTGTACTCACATGTATTTTAGGCTTAACAATCTGAAGCACTAATTTTAAAAATCAAACACATTTATAAATAGCTTCCCGGACCAGATGCAGGTGGTATAATTATGTTCTCCTAATCTCAGCTTTACAGTAACTTCCACTCTCTATCATAAACCCCCACATCCCAAGATTCTCTCTCCTCCTTTTTCACATGACAACCTTCATCTCATTACTGTATTCTACACATCAAATAAAACCTACCTGTAATCAATTTTTTTTCTTTTTCCATCTGAACAAATCCCAGCAGCTGCAAGGAGCAACACTTTCTGCCAGTTGAAGGTGGGCAGGTCTCTGAGAAACCAGGATGATGCCCCTTAACGCCACACGTTTCTGGACTTAGCAATGGGAAGACTGCAACAGGCCACCACTGCCCCAAAATCTGTGCCCCAAGAGAGGGGCAAATGTTTGAAGAAAAGGGGTACACAAAAAGTCCAGCTTCTTACAGGTGGCAAAAGGGTAAGTTCACAAATATGTACCTTATGATAGCTTTGGTTAGAGCCCACATTGCTAGCAGATGGGTCCAAGAACCACCTGTCTGCTGGCTGCAAACTCCAGGGTGATAAGCACCATGAATGCAAACACCATGCTGGTGTTTCTCCATGGAATTGTTGGGGTTAGGAGACACCTTGGGTAAGCGACAGCGCAGGCACTTTTTATACTACCACATGCTTGGCACAGTTGACCACCGACCTTGGTGAGGAACCAGTCATCAAGTCCAGCAGCAGTCTCAGGACAGCACCGAGGGCATGCAGTGCAGCTTCAAGCCTTGTGCTTCACGGTGAAGGTGACCGTGTTTTAAACACAACAGGTAACACAGAAAGAGTAATAGCTCATGTAATTTACTCCCGAGGGGTTAATTCACTCTAGGAGTATGAACTCTTCAATTCCTTTTCAATACTTCCAGTAATTTTCATTTTTATTAACTCCAGTAGAGAGCATTACCGTTAAGAGAGGCGTACATCTAACTACGTAGCCTGAAGAGTTACGGTCAGACTCTCACATGCTGTAAATCAGCATGACTCCTTCAAGCTTGCTAAAGCACAACAATTTACAGAAGCCAAGATTCTTTTGCTTCAAGTCAATACACCAGATTATAAATTAGATCATGCAACATATATCTTGTTTTCATCAAGATGAAAGAATGAATTAGGGGTAAATTATACCCTCAAAAACATTCCCAGGCTTCCTGTAAAGTTTACTGATTAGAAGAGATATCCATCAGTACTTCTAGCAACATAAATATTTCTCTTAAACAGACACAATTATTACAAATCTTGGTTCCTTACGTCACCAACTCATATAAGGCATCAACAATCCAGAAGAAGGAGGAGTATTTGAATTTGCTTGTGCTACATCAAGCCATTATTGCAACCTACTCTCCAATTAGAGGCATTTCCTCTCCCCAAAGTCACAGCTATTCTTCAGATTCTTCTGAGGAATGTTTCTCAGAATTACAAAATGTTCTATTACAGATGCCAAGCCTGAGAATGCTACAAATTCAGCAATTATCAGAAAAACTCTCAGCATTTATCAAAACAAATGACTGTGGGAATTCAGAGGTCTTGCATGATTTGCTCCTGAGAAGACACCTGCTGGGAAGGAAGAGATGAGGACATTCCAGAGCCCAAACAATGAGGAAAGCATTGGGATTCCATCCTTTTCTTCTCAGATCTGCAAACCAACACTCATTCCAAGAAGAAAGATAGATAGAAGAGTAGCAACAACGCTGCTCAGCTGATTGCAAACATTCACACGCTATAGTTTAGACAGTGTACTATTTCTGTGTCACATACCTGCACTGTCAAAATAATTTCTATAAACATATTTACTGCTTTGGGCATGAATCTCGGTATGTCCCAGAGGAAAAGGTAGCGAAAGCTTGTAGTTAAAACATTAATTTTTATGGAAAACTAGGCAGCAAGGATCAAGATCTCAGCTAGTCTGTCCTTCTGTGCTGCTGCCAGTGTCAGCCAAACCTGCTCCAAAAACCCACCCAGAAGAGACAACCAACAGCCTCCCCATGCAGTCCACCCCCTGTCCTCCAAAGTCCTTACAGCTAGGAGCCCAGTGCTTGACATCTAAACCAAACCCCCCTTATTACAATTTTATACCTAGCATTTCTTGCCCTGTTGCACTACAGCCATGAAGAGCTGCTTATTTTCCTTTCTCTTTGCAGCTATTTCTGCAGCTAGGTACCTCAGTGAGGCAAGGTGCTGGTTATTTTAACAAGTCAAAGAGGCTTATTTTGGGCACTTGCTGACAGCAAAAAACCTGTAAGGATCTGGAAAGGCTTCCCAAATTCCCATTGTGTTTGCCAGCACTCATAGAGATGTCTTAGCTTCCACCTCAGTTCTGCCAGGACTCTCAGTCATGAAACAACAGCACTGGTTTGATAAAGAGGCTGGTTACAAGTGCTTGGGGAAGGAAAACGGGTACAGAAAAGTTGAACACGGAAGAATCAGCTTGCTCAAACTAGTTTAATAAAAGTACAGCCATGCACATAATGGCAAGGATGCCCAGCGCAGGGGGTGTAGCTACTGTGGCATACTTAAAACAGGGAAGGAAGAAGGACAACTGCCTATAGATGGACAGAGCAAAATGAGCAAGAAATCAAGCAAAGCCAGGGAGTAAAACAAAGCTTCAAAGCTGTTATGCAAGACAACAATAACAGTCCCTACTTTCCAAACAATGGATCAGTGGGACTTAAAGGGCATATTGGCACTAAAACAATTCAGGCCAAGTCAGTCTATCAAAACTCTACCAAAACAAAGTTTTATTTTGGTCAAAACCAAGTACGTTATTTCCTCCTCTTTTCCTGCTCTTCCACAGTGTGTGCCTGTGGGGGCATGATATAAGCCAAAATACAGCTTAATCCTACAGTGCCTCTGCCCTTTAAGGGCTTTTTCACTCGCTTCTAAAGTAGTCTGATCCTACAAGCAGGCTGCTTTGTTCAGTAGGAGTGCCTCTGCCTTCACTGAAGAGATCCACTGTTAATTAGAAGACAACAGCTTTAAGTAAATGCCCACAGGCTAAGTAGCCATAGATTGATAAAAAAAGAAAAAAAATTAAAAATCTTTTTAAATTATTATATAAACCACAGTGCTATCAGACTGCTTACGCAGACAGGACCTTTCAAGCTGATGGAGAATATGCTGTTTGCATGAGTAACTTAAAAAGCAATGCTCTCTTTTCACTGGAAGTTTGTAGGACTTAACTTTTACATTTGTTACACAAGTTTGAGTTCCTTTTCGATTGCCAACACAGACACATTTAGCTTTTTTGTTTAGGACCATGACCACAGGCCAGCCTGAATACTGTGACTATTCACTGAAAGGAATGCTGGATGCAGTACATGGACCTTGCCAGCTTATTTCCC